CCCTCAGATTGCGAGTCGACATATTATGGTGAAAAATACTTTTAATAAAAAATTCTCATTCAATATAAGACTGCAGCTTTTTCACTTGTATTTTTTAAGAGGGAAAAATTCAGTTTATGCCCACAGTTTACTTAACATACCTATTTGAATCAAGTGCCTTGTAAAATTATTTTTATTGCAGAAGATTAATGGTGTTCTTTTTCTTCGTTATTTTTTTTAGATGCAACGAAACAATGTCATATGAAAGTATATTGCCCGAGGGTTACCAAAAAGTAGAGCCTCCACCTAGTGAGAAAGGTAAAGTCTAATGATTTATTGTATATTAAATAATAATAATAAAGAATAACATTTCTTAAACCAATTTGTAGGTACTCATCATAGAAGAATGAAAATAAAAATGGCTTTTGTTTAAGACTAGCGAAAGTAACGACAAAACTAATAATTTTGGTATACTTTAAAAGCAATCTAAGATAATTTTATATTTTACCTTATAGCTGTTCCATGGTATTTTGAGTAATGAGAATATATATTCTAAATAGCATTGTTTTATCACCTTATTTGTACTCATAGCTAAAATATCACATGCTTAAATATAGAATTACAGGTCATTCATGAAGGAAGGAAAGGCTGTGTTTAACTGAAGTATTTGTTTTTGTTTGTTCCTAAAATCTTCGCGAAACGCTATGTAATAATTATATGTGCATAGCCATCCATAATTTTGAGCTGATAGTCTAGAGGAAAGGAAACAAGTTAAATGCACCCATCGCCAACGTTTGGATTACTTTTATCTCATAGAAGAGTAAGATTTCAGCATCAGCTTAGAGCGCACTCATGGTTACAAAATGCCGAGCGCGTTTTTGCGATTTCACATGTTGCAATTAGTAGTTAAGGGTATAGAAAATGAAATATTACGAGTACTGTTGGATAAAACGATTCTTGAAACAAAGTTAATTACATATTCATAGCTAATTAACACCTCACATCATTAGGTACTGATGAAAGACAAACAGCTATAATACAAAAAACTCCTTATTAAAATGAATTGTTACACCTTGAACTAGTACACGATGTAATAAGTAACATCATGATACTGTAATTGTCTGGTGTAAATTTATTTACTTCCTGAAAACGTGACAGATAGGAGATACTTCGTTTCACTCAGTGGATACACCACGTTGTTTGTTTCTTGTTTTGTTTCTGTTACGAAATGTTAACTAACAAAATAAAACACTGTCTTATTTATATTTCAGTTAATTCACCGAATGAAAAAAATTACACAGTGCTGTTAGGTTTAAGTGAAACAATACTACAATATCACAATTGTTTCGCTCACTTTTCACTCACATGGTTATAAAATAAATATAAAGATGTTTTGATGTATTGTACAAGCCTTGATTGTAAACTTCCGCGAAAAGTGGGTTATTTTTCTGAGTGTTTTAAAACGATAAACAAAACTTAGTTAACTATGCAAGATGCCTTTGACAAACACAACAAAGAAACCTTGAAATATGATGGGGGTAGGAATGGGCATGGTAATAAAACTTTCTTTGTACAACCTCACAGGGGGCGTGTCCAACATCCGGTCCATGCCTACTTCGTTTATTCTTTCTATCCTGTATAGAATAAGTCAGGTGGACTAAACTTATCAAACTTAATTATGCTTATCATACAATGAATAGGGAGTTTTGTGAATCGAATTATTATTACACCGTGCCCATTCCTACCTTGTTTCCTCACTTTTTGGTGCACTTTCAATTTCTTTCACAGCTAGAAGCGTTCAACAATGTCCGTCAGTCAGTGAGATTGAGAAATGTTTTGTAGTTTTTTGATTTTTTGTATCTGCTCTGCTGACTTTCTCAAGTGGTTGTATGACTAATAATTTTGTAAGTGGTTTGTTTATAATCTAAGAGTGTTTCTCAAATACTTTTGAAGATTTATTATTCAGTTATTAAAGGTGTATATGAAAAAATAGTTTGTATAGCATGTATTATGTATTCACCCCATTCCTACTATAAGTACTACTGTACTTAAGATATATCCATAAGCATACTAAAATACATAGCAATATATATAAAACATAGCTCTTTCTGATATGGGTTGAGGTAGCACAAGTTTATAGAAAAGATATAATATATCATTACTTGTCTTATAATGTATAGTTTAGTTTACAAAATAAAGTATTAGGTCGTCAATAAATTAATGTCGCGTTTTGGAACGTAAGTTACGTATAATAGTTAAACGAACCGCCAAAACTTTACGTTAGTGTAGCCTATAGAATGTGTAAAGTTTAGTATACTCTAATCACTTACAGTGACGGCACACGACGAGACACACATTCGGCATGTAATGCTGTTTGAATAGAAGAAGGGAAAGAACGCCCCTGTAGCCACAAAGAACATC